TACACACACACACACACACACACACACACACGCGCGCGCGCGCGCGGGCACTCGTACACACATTCACGCACATATCAAAACCTACACATAATTTTCTGTGACCTGATCGAGTCAGCTGCTGAGATAGTTAGACTTAGCATAATTATGATTATGCAGGTGTGCAGACCACTCAAGAACTTCCACCTAATAATCATCAGTTGTCTTCTTGTGCAGAAGCACCCTCATGTACGATTTTTTTTTTGTGGGGGGGTTCAAAATCTAGAGGCGAGTCATCGTGGTGATATCAAGCGCTTGTCAAAATAATCACATCAAAGAAACCAGTCTTTTTCGGCCATTTGGACATGTTTATAATTTTAGCATCTTCCATGTCCTTTTAAAGACACATTTCTGTGTTTGAATTTTACTCAAAAACTTTTATCAAAAGCACAACAACACAAATTTTAATTTGCAGTTTCCAGGAACACGGTGATATTATTACTTCTGACACCAGTCGACCCCTCAGTCCCAAATATCTCGACTTCTATTCAAGTTGGATGAGCATTTTTTTTAAAATCAAAAGCAAGGCAAATGAACAGTGTTTAAGACTATAATACTAATAGCTCCTTATGCTCCAAAATTTTGCGAGCGCCTGATTCCACCGCTACACTTGTACACAAAGAGGTCATATAAATAAAACCTAACGAGGAAGTAGATAACACATCCACGCTGGGTTGTTTGGGGGTTGGGTTTTAAAATATTTTTCAGAATATCCTTTTTTAAGCTTCCTTCTCGTGGGGCTCCTCTCATTCGTTAAGTCACTCGAAATAAGAAACTACACGAGTCAGCATTTTAAAAAATAATAACTTCTGTTTTATTTCATTCCGAATATTGCTTTTGATACTCTACCCTACAAAAAAAACACCTGCAAAAGTATGCTTCCTAATTGAGACATATATCTATGGCTTCACACTATAATAATTACCCCCCCCCCCTCCCCCATCTGCACAACCATTAATTTTGGCGTCATTACCCTCACTAGAAAAAGACAACACACCACCCAGTAAAAATAAATTTTATGAATGCATGACATGGTTTGTTTGAATCTTTTTTTATCTGACACTTAAGCATCATGATATTGTTGGATTTTTCCGGTTGAGATGTTTTTAGAGCAGTTTCTTGTTATTGTTTATGGTTGTATTGTTGTCATTGCTCGGGCTGTTCATATTGTTAATGTTGCTGTTGCTGTTGTTGTGTTGTTGTGTTGTTGCTGTTGTTGTTGTGTTGTTGTTGTTGTTGTTGTTGCTCTTCTTCTTCTTCTTCTTCTTCTTCTTCTTCTTCTTCTTCTTCTTCTTCTTCTTCTTCTTCTTCTTCTTCTTCTTCTTCTTCTTCTTCTTCTTC